GAGGTAGCATGGTTTTCCAGAGGGTGTAGACGTTGAAGGTCGGGTTTGGAATGTTTTCGGGAGATTTCTTGGTTAGGTTGGGTTTTGGGCTGCGGGCTGGAGGTGGCGCAGCTAGGGTTTCCAAAGGTTGCAGAAGTAGATGTGGGTTGGGTTTGGATGGAAGGCTTCCGGGGGTGAGGTAAGGTAGTTTGGTTGCAGAAGTTGATGTAGGTTGGATTTGCTTGCGGGAGATGAGGTAGGTTGGGTTTATGGGGTTGCTGACGGGAGCCGAGGTAGTTCGTTCTTCAGAAGTTGCAGAGGTTGAGATAGGTTGGGCTTGGAAGGCCTGCGGGGGATGCGTCAGGTTGGACTTGGGGCTGCTGACGGGAGCTGATTAGGTATTTTGGGTTCCCAGAGGTTGGCGAAGTTGGCGCAGGGTGGGTTTGTGGGGGCTGCTGGCGGAAGATCCGGCAGCTGAGGTGTTCAGATGTTGCAGGTGTTCATGTAAGTTGGGTGTGGGCGGTGGGGCTGCTGACGGGGGCTGCGGTAGTTTGGGTTTCCAGAAGTTGGAGGTTGAAATAGGTTGGGTTTGGACGGCCTGCGGGGGATGCGTCAGGTTTGACTTGGGGCTGATGGCGGGAGCTGAGGTAGTTTGGGTTTCCAGAGGTTGCAGACGTAGGTGTAGGTTGGCTTTGGAGCTGCTGGATGGATGGAGCTGTAAGTTGGCTTTAGAGCGCCCAGATTACTGGAGGCCCAGGCTTCCAACGACGTGACCTCCTCGATTTGGGGTGTCCCTTCCCGAGTTCCGATGTCGTTATTTGTGCCAGTACTGAAACTAATTTGACCTCTGGAGGCCAACAACGGGCTTGACTGTTAAAAACCAGCCCGCATGCTACATGAGCCCACGGGAAGATGTCCGGAGCGATTGTCCGCAGGGGCAGGCATACCATCGGCCTCTAAGCTCCGTCCTGTCGTGATTGCTGGCGAGGCGGTGTGCAAATCTCGTATTTGCTGACAGGTGTGCGTCGGCACTCCAATGGCGGGTATTCCCAGCGTGGCGTGCACCGCTCACCCAGATCTGTTCTAAGCTGGTGGGTGGATCCGTTCTAGGCTGGTGGGTCTACCCAGACCTCTAGGTCTTTCGTCGATGGATGTGTGATATTTTCGATAGATCTGGACGTGCACCGCTCATACAGATCTGTTCAAAGCTGGCGGGTCTTCCGTCGATGGATCTGTTCTAATCTGTTCTAAGCTGGTGGGTCTTTTGTCGATGGATCTGTTCTTAGCTAGTGGGTCTTTTGTCGATTAAGCCGGTGGGTTTTTGCCAGCTCTATACTGGTGGGTCCTTTGTCGATGGATATGTTTTAACCTGATGGGTCTTTCGGTCCTAGCTGGCTGGCTGAGGTAAGCGGCCGCGAGAGGACCCGGGGGAGCCTGTTTGAGACAAACACAGCCGCGGCACGCGCTCTCTCTCTCTTTATTTCTCTCTTGAGGTCCCAGTGGGTGTGCCCGCATGCGCCCCACACACCCGTCGCGGCACACCCCTCACACGGGGTCTTCGGGATCTTCGAGGACCATTGGGGGCCCCGTGTTCACCAAATCACGAGATCAGATCTCTGAGGTACCGCGGCCCCTCTGTCGTCGTGCACCGCTCACCCAGATCTGTTCTAAGATGGTGGGTCTTTTGCCGATGGATCTGTTCTAGGCTTGTGGGTCTTTTGTCGATGGACCTGGATGAGCACAGCTCACCCCGATCTGTTCTAAGCTGGTGTTTTTTGTCGATGGATATGGTCTTTTGTCGATGGATCTACCCAGACCTATTTTAAGCATGTGGGTCTTTTGTCGTTGGATCTGTGATATTTTGTCGATGGATCTGGATGGATATTTTGTCGATTCTGGGCTGGTTTTGTCGATGGATCTGTCCTGAGCTGGTGGGTCTTCCGTCGGGATCTGGTCTAAGCTGGCGGGTCTTTTGACGATGGATCTGTTCTAACCTTGGGGGTCTTTTGTCGATCGATCTGTTCTATGCCGGTGGGTCTTTTGTCGATGGATCTGTGGTTTTTGTCGATTAGGCTGGTGGGTCTTTTGCCGATGGATCTGGATGTGCACCGCTTACCCCTCACACGGTTCGTGGCCCCATGCGGAGCTTCACCGACGGCCCCAGTGGGTGCGCCTGCATGCGTCCCCCACAATTTCGGCACACACCTTCACGCGTTTCGTTGCCCCATTGGGAACTCCACCGAAGATACAGGCGGGCGTGCCCGCATGCGTCCCCCACAACCATTTCGGCATACCCCTCACACGTTTCGTGGCCCCACAGGGAGCCCCACCAAAGGCTTCAGTGGCTACACGCGTCCCCGCCGCAAATTTCGGCACACCCCTCACACGCGTCGTGGCCCCATTGGTTGCTCCACCGAAGATCCAAGTGGCCGCATGCGTCCCCACCACCCATGTCGGCACCCCCATCACACGCTTCGTGGCCCCATCGGGAGCTCCACCAAAAGCCCCCGTGGCGGTGCCCACATGCGTCCCGCCACTCATTCCGGCACACCATTCACACGTGTTGTGGCCCTAGGGGCTCCACCGAAGACGATGCTCACACCAGCGTTACCAGCTGCATATGGTTGGGCCCTCCGTCAGGCGAATGGTTGCCAATGCGTTTTCGTTGTCTCCGTGGCAGGGGGCCAAGAGGGCCTCAATATGGCACTGCAGTGGTCACTTTGAGGGACAAGATGTCGTTGGTCTTGGGAGCCCTCTTGGTCTTGGGGGCCCTCTTGGGGCCCTGTTGGAGCTTTCTTGGGTCCCTCTTCGAGCCCCCAAGGGGCCCTCTCGTGCGCTAAGGGGGTTCCAGGAGGGCCCCCAGAGGGCATTCGCAAGTCCCGAGGTTCCCAAGAGGGCCCCAAGAGGGCCCCAATGCAATGCCATGCAAACGGCCCTGCAATATCCTGCAAACGATGGTCGCTTAACCCGACCAGCTTTTTTTTCGAGAGCCTCTCCCGACCCTCTCCCCTGGACCCCTGAAACGTCTCCCTGCAATGCCCTGCAAACCAGACACTTGACATGCCCTGCAGTACCCTGCAAAGACCCTGGGGCCGCGACACATCAGAGGGGTCATGCGACCCTTCCCAGAGACCCCACGGGGCAATAGAATGTGGGTACCACGACTGCGGGACTAGAGCACGGGTTCAATGCCAAGGTTGGGTAGGAGCACAGTAAAATGGAGCTGAGCGTAAGTGGGCTCAGCGGCGGCACGCCTGCGCCGAATGGCACGACGCCCGTCTCCCTCGCCCCCGCCTGCCGGGTGGAAGGGGGAGGGCGGGGGAGGCGGGAGGAGGGGGCGGAGGAGGAGGAGGAATGGGAGGAGAAGGAAGAGGATGATGAGGGTGAGACCAACGTCTCTGCCCATTCTATTGGCCTGGGGGGCCTGGGGGGATGCGTCGAGGCGTCTTGGGGCCACTCGGGCCGTCGTGGAACCCCTAGCAACCCCCAGTGGAACTCGCCCTGCCTGGGTGGGGAAACGGGTTTGGTACGTCCTGGGGGGCGGGTTTGGTCGCCCATTCACCTTCGCTTCAGAACGGCTGGACACGCGCTGCAATCCCAGCGCAACCATAGCATCCCTCACTTCCCTCGAGTCCACGTCGTCAGGCAAGAAGGCATTGAGCCCGTGGAGGTGTTCTCGAGGCCACGGGCGGCCACCTGCAGACATTGTCTTCACCCTGTCTTCGGCGCGCAACCGCGCCCGATCAACGCTTGCTTGGTGTTTGTCATGGTCGGTTGCCTGGGCTTCGAGGTCAGCTGTAATCTCGCTCTGCAGGAGGGTGCCATCCTTGAAGGCAGCTATCCGCTTCTTAAGCTCCTTGTCCGCGTTGAACTCCATCTCCTTCCTGTGCTTGTCGGTCATGTAATCATCGCCGCCGTCCAAGTCGACATCGATGGACTGACTCGAACGACTCTGCTTCGCCTGCTGCACGCCCTCCCTGCGACACCGCAGCCAGCCAATCTCGGTAAATCGCTTCTTCTTGTCTGGCTCCTGGTCGCCGCCCTCGTCGCCGGCATGGCTGATCGCCTTCCTCACGCCCGCATTGACGCTAGAACCTGGCGGGCCACCTTGCCGACAAGCACCGTAGCATTGAATCCAGACCTGACGTGCTTCGGCGTGCATCTTATCCAGCTCATCGGCCGAGCGGAGCTGCTTGTCGAGGATCAGTTTTGTGAGGTGGTGTTCCAGCGAACTGGTTGAACTTCCACCTGAGGATTGAGGGGAAATGTTTTTGAGGACTTTGCTGAAGCCCTGCTCGACCCCGGAACTGCTGCCGCCCATGCAGCCGTATGCAACCAAGAGCTGATTCAAAGCGTCGATCGGGTAACGTTGCCGAGTGCCATGGTGACGTTGAGTCTTCTCGACAGCCGCTTTCCATGCATCCATGGTCGTGCATTTCGTGTCGACGTAGTGACGGCGTGCTATCCTTCGATGGCTTCGAACCTGCTCCTTGAGAGTCTCGGCGTCCACGTTCAGGAACAGAGCGAGGCGGTCCAAGTTGGCATCATCATGAATAGTGCCTTCATCGTCTGCTGATGCTGTGCTCCTCGAGTGCTTTCTGGTCTTGGACAAGTTCAGTGCGTTGAACGCCCTGATGGCCTCGAAATCTGTAAACTCCGACTTGACTACGGTGAGCGCTACTGTGTGCCATGCGATCATCCTGCCGTAGCACTCGGCGAGCATGGCATGCACTGCGACGCGAGGGCCACCGAAGGAGCGGACGTGGCCCTTGGAGGCGTCATAACTGCTCTTGCTGCTCCAGAAGAGGATCAGAAGCACTCCGAAACTTGAGTACCCGAAGCTCCAGAAGGGGGCCAGGAAAGGTACAAGTCTGTTCCTAGATATGCGATGGATGTGCAAGCATATGCGTATGCATGTGCTACTAAGATATGTACGTGTCCGTATGTGTATGTATACCCATGCATTTTTCTAAATACATGCGTGCATGCTGTCTCGGAGGCGTATTCCCTGGCCCCCCTTCTCAATACCTCTTCGCCTTGCCAGCATTCACGTTAACCGTCTTGGCCAGCTGGCTGATGGCGAACGACGTGTAGGTGTAGGTCAGCTTATGAGCATTCTTCTCCAGAAAAAGGTACTCGATGTTCTCGACGAAATTGGCGACTTCGTCGGCTTGAATAGCGACGTCCATATCTTCGGCATCTGTGAACGTTGTGAAGCAATACGCTTCGTCTGCAGCGTCGCTCATCATTGATAAAAGTAAGTACTCATCCTCCCTGAATCCAGCCAAAAACTGCTCAGCGACGTCAGCCTCTGCCCGACCAGCTCGCGCAGTACGGATCTTTTGAGCCGTCAGGAAAACAGCGCCAATCTTTCCCACGAACCTGCCAAGCCGTTTGGTGATGGAACTGAAACGATGTTTAGCCATCCCCAGGTTCCGGACCAATCCACCAAGGGCTTCGTCAGGGGACATCACCTTGACAAAGTCTTCGAACCAGTCGCCGAACACGTCACTGCACCCGATAAGGTGGATGATGCCTCTTTTGCCCATGATGTACTTTTCGAGGGCATCGGCCATCTTCTGGTCGACTTTGAAGGTCCTGCTGAGCAGCCTCCTCGAGGCATGGGCCATGTCCAGGGTCACCGCAGATTGATGAGGGGCGAGAACATCGACGCCATCATGGCGAATGCCCTTGAGGAAAGGCTTAACAATGCCTCCCCCTCCCCCTCCTACTCCCCTCCTCCTGATTGTCCTCCCCCGTGTCCTCCCCCATCCCCCTCGTTGGGGAATGCGTTGCAGTGATTGGGGGTATTGGAGGCCTCGTTTTCTCTTGGTGGCATTGGGCCCCAACCTAGATAGTCCCAGGACGGCGCCAAGAAAGCCACAACGCGTTATGATATCATGTTTTTTGGGGGACGTCGTCGAAACGTGGGTTCGTGTGTTGACACCTCCGCCATCTGGCGAGCAGACAGCCTCTCGTCAGAGGCGCTGTCGATGACAAGCTGCCTGTGGATCGTGCGGAGGTGGTTGAAGAAATCCTCGTCATACTGCAAAATGCCAATGCTCTGTTTCGGACGTGGGCAACCGTAGTTGACCGTGGCGAATTCCCGCCACGCTTTTTCTGTAGCCATGGTGATATTCGTAGCCCCTGTTCCGAAGTGCCGCTGGGTGCTCTGGTGGAACACTCTACACGCTAAGGATGATGTAGTTGCCGAGCATCTGATCGCAAGGCGCCCTCCGGATTCGTCACGACGGTGCGAAGACATAAGAGCGTCGCGCATAAAGGCCCTGTCCTGCCTTGTGAGCGCCTCCGCAAGGCAGAAGGTCATCTTGACGATTTTGTTCTTATCTCCAACGCCGTCAATGCCGGCAGAAGGCGCGGTCCCCGTGGAGATAGCGTCGAACACGGCCTTGAACTCTTCGAGACGTGGCGAACCTCTGAACTCATCATACTTTGCGGGCATGCCGAGGAACGACATGACTGCATCTTTGTGGGTGTCCATGGCGTGGTGCCTCATCAGGTTGGACATCTGGCAAGCATTGGCACTCGAAACATTGAAATCAGCGAAGCTGCGCGCGTTGGCTGGAGAGCCCTTGCTCAACTTAGGCCGGGCCGCAGAGCATGCAATGCACCCCAATCCTTGCCAACGTCCGTCGTCGTCGAAGCACTCCTCCAGCCAGGACTGGTCAACCAGTTTCTTCATGCTGACCTCCAGGCAACTCACATCCAATTTCCACTGAGGCTGTAACAATGGAGTTTTTGTTCGCCATGAGTCGCCTAATCGAATGTACTTGCACCTGCCACAGTTCGCCTCCTTGCAGAAGTTGATGTGCATGTCGTCCGAAGCTGAAGCAGCGCTGGCGACATGTTCCTTGAGACTCTTTTTGAATGCCTGGATGCGTTTGGGGTGATTCGCTACATCGGAAGGCTCAGCAACAGTGGCAACTGGCGATGAGTAAAAATCCTCTGGGCACCCTTCTTCCATGGTGCGCAAAAATCATCTGAGCCCAAATGTGGCGAGGAGGCGGAGGGAGGAAGGATGAGGCTGGCGGACGGGGGAAGGGGCCCAGAAGTGACCTAGGGTTTCTCCTCTCCCCCTGTTGGCCTTCGTCGTGGTACTACTACTTCTACTACTACTACTACTACTACTACTACTACTACTACTACTACTACTACTACTACTACTACTACTACTACTACTACTACTACTACTACTACTACTACTACTACTACTACTACTACTACTACTACTACTACTACTACTACTACTACTACTACTACTACTAGTGCGCGGCGCCAAGGCGAGAACCACATTTTGAACAGAAGCCATTCTGAAACGAGTCTGCGCAGGGCTAAGGCGAGAACCACAGACGGCCCGCCCTCAATCCGCAAGGCCGTTGCTATGTTTTAAAGCGAGTGCGCGTGGCGTTAGGGCGAGAGCCACTGCATCCTCTGCATGTCGAAGACGGCCCGCCCTCCATCCGTGCAATTGCTGGGAACTGTCAAGACCGACGACCACAACCACCACAACCTTGATGACGACGACGACGACGACGACGACGACGACGACGACGACGACGACGACGACGACGAGTCGTCATCGGAGCAAATCGGCAACGCCGTCACGTTTTTCGAGGCGGATCCCACCGCGGCGTCGAGAGGCCTTCAGGAAACCCAAGCCACGACGTCAGGTAGGGTGGCCACTGTCTCGATTCCCCCGTCTTAGCCTCCCTGGTGCTGGCGCGCAGCAAACCGTCAAGAAAAGACTCGGTGGACTCAGGCTGCAATGCCCCATTCGAACGGGAACAATCGAACCCTATCGCGCCCGATTGTGGAATTCTTTTGGGGCAACGACGCATGAGCATACCAGGGTGCTGTGCAGAAAGAAGAGGGCGACATGTGATCGCATCCGCCAGCCACCTTGCGGGGCAACCAGGCTGCTTGACCCGGGTCAACAACGTATATGTTTATGTTTACGCGCAAACGGCTCGGGCCAGCAACGTATATGTCTGTGTTTACGCGCAAACATAAATGTACATACATTTTAGTACGAGTATGGTGTATTCACGTCCATGTGATGAGTGTATGCACATGCATATAAACAATACATGTTTAAACACACATGTTATGCGTGCGTATGTGCATGGGCAGGGCCTGATACCATTCCTTCGCATGTGCTTTTCGGCCGTGCCTGGCAGAGACTGTCACATTCAAATAAACCATGCGCACACGTACACATTTATACATGCATGCATGTATACATACGTGTGTGTATATACACATTCACGCACGCACATGTATGGTCAACGGCGCGCATATAACACATATACATACACGTATAAAATTTGTATATATATATATATGTATACATGCATACATACACGTATATATATACACACATACATTTACATATATATATATATGTATATACACATATATATATATATATATACATATCTATAGTACATACATAAACATATATGTATGCATACACATACATATACATTCACATATTTATATACACGCATCTGTTTATACATACATATACATGTATATAAACATATAATACATATACATACATAGACCGATATGCATGCATACATATACATACATACAATACGTACAATGAAACAGACAGAGACAGGGACGGAGGATGAGGAGGAGTCCATGAACCAACGAAAAACGCTAAACTTTAGCTATGCCCTGGCAAGCCTTTTCCCCTGGGCTTCCACTGCCCTCGCCGGGCCCCCCTCCCCTTATTCCGACCGTGCGCCCTCCCCCCGCTCCTCCCCTGCACCCCCGTCCTCTTGCCTCCGTGCCCCCCGTCTGCCCAGATGCCCCTTCCCCTTATTCCGACCGTGCGCCCTCCCCCCGCCCCTCCCCTGCGCCCTTCTCCCGATGCCTCCGTGCTCCCCCCACGCCCCCGGGCCCCCCCGCCCTGTCCCCCGTGCTCCCCCCGCCTTCCCCGGGCCCCCAACCTCTTATTCCGACCGTGCGCCCTCCTCTTGCCCAAGTTCTCCTCCCACTCGCCCCGCGCCCCTCTTACCCGTGCTTCCCCCGCTCTCCCTGGGCCCCCCTCCCCGTATCCGACCGTGCGCCCCCTCCACCGCTCCTCCCCTGCGTTTGTCTCCTCTTGCCCCCTTGCCCCTCCACGCGGGCCCCCCGCGCCTTCTCTCCTTGCTCCCCCCGCCCTCCCCGGGCCCCCCTCCCCTTATTCCGACCGTGCGCCTCCCCCCGCTCCTTCCCTTCCACGCCCCCACCGTCCTCCCCGGCCCCCCCCCATATTCCGACCGTGCGCCCTCCCCCCCGCCCCTCCCCTGCGCCTTCCTCCTGTTGCCCCCGTGCCCCCCATCTTCCTGGAGGCCCCTTCCCCTTATTCCGACCGTGCGCCCTCTCCCCGCCCCTCCCCTGCGCCCCTCTCCCGTTGCCCTGGTATTCCCCCTGATATTCCCGAGCCTCCGCGCCTTCTCCCCCGCGTGCTTCCCCCGCCCTCCCTGGGCCCTCCCCCCCTTCTTCCAACCGTGCGCCCCCTCCCCCCGCTCCTCCCCTGCGCCCCCCTCTCCTTGCCTCCGTGCCCTGCGCGCCCCCACCCTCTCCGGGCTTCCGCGCCTTCTCCCTCGTGCTCCACCCGCTTTCCCCAGGCCCCCCTCCCCTTATTCCGATCGTGCTCCCTCTCCCCGCTCCTTCCCTGCGCCCCCCTCCCCTGGCCCCCGTGCTTCCCCCACCCTCTCCGAGCTTCCGCGCATGCTCCCTCGTGCACCCCCTGCCTGCCTGTCGGGGCACTCGCTTGCCCCCCCCCTGCCGGACCTTGGCGCCATTGCCATCTGCCGTCTGTCTCGCATCCGCGATTGTATGTTCCTTGGCACGCGTGCCCCTTTTTTAATCGATTCGCTCATTCCGCCGGCCCTGGAGCCTTCTAGGGCCTTTTGGTGGCCTCTTGGGGACCTCTTGGGGGTCTCTTAGGGGCTCCTTGGCGGCGTCTTGGGGGCCCCCAGGGCCTCTTGGGGGGCTTTGGGGGGCCTCTTGGGGCGGGAGGGGGGGTAGTCGATTGCGGCTCCCCCCTTGGAGGCCACGATCCTCGAAAGAGGTGTCGAAAAATGGCCCTCCCCTGGAGTGCTCTGGCGGCTTCCCCCGGGACCTTGCCGGGGTGCCGTTCGTCCGGGGGCTCCCAGGGGCCGCTCCGCGCGCGCGCGCAAACTAGACATATTGTTAACCAGTTACCCGAGATCTTAGCACGCCTCTGGCCCGTTGGGCCGGCGAATTAATAAGGAGAAGGAGGAGGAATATTTGTTCAACATCAACATCAAATTAGGGTGCCTGCCCAGACAATTAGGGCAGGCTGGCTGGCCATGGCCAGCACAAAACTAACACCTGAACAGGTGAGGAAAGGCAGGAGGCCACAGCAGACATCTCCAGCTGGCTGGAGGATTCCCCGTGGCAAGCTGCTTCTCCCACAGGCGTTAGTCTGAACTTGAATCGCCCTCATCGCGGTACGCGAGCACCGAGACAAAAGGTGCCTCTCTAGCTCCACGCCGACGCGGGGGCGGAGCACTGGGCAACTCAATCCGAGGATCCTCCTCGAAAAAGCCATGGGCCGCCTCCACCTCGGCAGCCCGCGGGTCGGCACAACCCGCTGTCACTGAGACAGCCTGGCGCCCAGCAGAAGAGGCAGCATCGCTCCCCCCCCCCCACCCCACTCCAAACTCCAACTCCAAGCCGTCCCCTCCCAGAGGTCTGGGACACCTTCAGGGTCTACCCTCAGTGTGGAACAGTAACTGGGGTAGAGCCCTCTCAGCACTCGGCGCCACAGACATCTCTTCCGAGCTGTCATCTTATGGTCACATCTGCCACTGAGGTTGGACTTCTTTAGAGAACCTTGACCAACATGGCTAGCACACCGCGTGCATATATATGCAGTACAGAGCCGTCGTCACAGGGCAGGCCGACGACGACATGGCCATTCCGTTCCATCTCAGAGAAATCCCAATCCCCACACACTCCCGAACAACCGCACGGGGGTGGGCGGAGCTGAGACCGGGAGGTCTTGAGACAGACACGGCATCTCCACCTGCCCGTCACGAATTCCCAGTCATGTTGGGGGCTGTCAGGGCGCGCTCCGCTGGCCCGCCCCGCTGGGGCGCGAAACTCCACATCTTTCAAATCCAGCCTGGGCCACTTAAACAGCAGCGCCGCCGCAAGCTCGCAAACAGTCTGGGCGACAATTGAAACCTCGTCCAGGGCCTGCACTTGGTCTGGGGAGGGTTCTTCGTGCAGGCGGACACCCGCCTTCGCGGCCTGATCGGCCTGGAAATTTCCTCGGCGGAGCTGCATTTCATCGCGTGGTACACCCTCCTCCTCGAGGGAAAGGTGTGCTTTGACTTTCCTCACCGACTGTATATAGTGAGACACCTTCTGGCCGTGCAACAAAAGCCCAGCATAGGGCTTCTGGTAATGTAACTGGCCACCCAGGGGTCGATTAGCCTGGACATACACTGGCCTTCAACCACCTGGCTAGAGCACCCAAAGGCAGCAAACTCTCCTGCCTGGGAAGTTTGGGGGAGGCCAGCATATACGGTGCCGAAAACATGACTGGGTACCCCTGGGTGACCGACAGCACAGGCTGCAAAAGGTGCACAGGGCGGAGGAAAGCGGGGGCTGCCTCCAGCAGCCCCCTCAGGAGGCGACCCCGAAGTCGCTGTCGGGCTCGGAGCTCCCGATGTGGTCGCAGGGCGTGCCGAAGACGAATTTGGCGCGCCGCTCGCCGTGCTGACGGTCCCGCAAGCATTGGTAGTAGGACATGGCGATGCACTCGGAAGAGTAGCCGACAGCCGCCTCTTCTCCCCACGCCGAGAAGGACCACCATCGCCCGCCGCGTGATCACGAACAAAAGTCGGCGGGCCCGCCAACCCCCCACACCTCTCGGCAGCCGCCCAGGGACGAACTCCCTCGCCCTGCCCAGAAGGCGCAAGGCCTGCGCCCAGAGCGTTACCGTCCCCGACCGACTGGGGCCAGGGGAACGTGGAGCCGTCCACAGGGCAGTCTGCCGAGGGTCCGCCAGCGGCGGTGGACGCTCCCCCTCCATTATCCACCATTGGGGGGCCTCTGGCCACATTGACGGCTGCCAGGGGTGGAGGGGGGCCCGACGACCAGCTCGACCTCCGCGTCGTTCCAGGCGACGCAGGGGCCGAACCAGTCGACGCGGAAGTCGCCGCTGGCGTAGCCAATGTAGAAGAAATGGTACTGCTTCTCGCAAACCCCGACTGCCCACCAGCCTTGGCCACATCACAGTAGTTGAAACGTACACGGCCTCCCCGAGTCGATCGAGACCGACTGCCATGCACAAGGATGCCTCGTAACGCGTCACCCGCGCTCCGATGCGCCCGCCGCTGCAGCAGCCGCACCTTTGCCTGCGCCCTTCGCCGGAGCTGCTGCACCCGCAGCCCGAGCCTCGGCCTTAAGCTGCTCGCTGTCATCGGCTCCACCCGCAGTGCCTGGCTGGCCATCAGGAGGAGAGCCCGCCCCTTCAGGCTGAGTAGACCGCCCAGGCTGCCCAGCTGCTGCAGGCGCTGGCTCCTCCTTGGACTCCCCCTCGTCGGCCGTGCGGCGCTTCTTCGCCGCCAGCCTCTCCTGCAGGGCCTTGTGCTCGGCCTGCAGGGCCTCTCCCTTCTGGCGCACCTCGCCGAAGAAGCTGCCCGCCATCTGCTTGAAGGACTCGAGCATCTGCTTCTTCCTGCGCTTCGCCTCCGCCAATGCCTCTGGCCCGAGCTCCTCGAACTCCGCGTAGCCGAAGAGGCCGTCGTCGTCGAGGTCCAGGTCGTCCAGGTCCCCGCCCATGAGCTTTGCCAGGGAGAGTTTGAGCGGTCCCCCAGCATCAGCCGCAGCAGCTCTGCCAGGGGCTCCCACTCCCGCAGCGGCCTCGGCCGCCGCCTCCTTGTAATCGGCCTCCGCGCCCTCGAGCTCGGGCACCAACTCCGCGACCAGCACGCGCTGCTTGTCCACCTGCGCGAGCAGGTCCTGGAGCACCGCGTTCTCCGCCTCCAGCTTGCTCTTGAGCTTACGGACCCTCGCATGCGGTCTGTTGGCCCTGAGCTGCGCTGGCTGCTCGCTTCCCTTCCCCATCTGGTCCAAGAGCTGCTTGTACTTCTTGGCCGTCTGCATATCGCCAGACTTCTCTGCCATCGTGACCATGGAGCGCAACTCATCCTTTGAGAGGGCCGTGGTGGCCGAATGGGACTTGGCCTGGCTGGCCTGGATGGCAGCGCGGTGCTTGTCGGCCATCTCCTTGTCGCCCTTGCTCTCGGCAAAGACGACCAGGGCCTGCATGGCGTCCACACTGAGGTCCACATCACCCCGAGCAGGAGCACCACCGCCACCAGCAGGACGAGCACGATCCCTCTTCCACGGAGGCTGCACCGTCGCGCTCGGCACCGCAGTGCTTGCACCAACGCCACCGTGCCAGGTTCTTTGCACAGCGGCACTCGGGCTGGGAGCATCGCCACATCTCCCCGCCCACCGACCGCGGTCGCGACGAAGCCCTCGATGGTGCCCGCGACCGAGGCTTGCCGCCCTCTGCACCCATGTCGGCGAGGTGGCCGACAGCGCCGGACGAGAAACAGCGCGCGTGGCCCCCTTCAACAGCGCGTAAGGGCGAGAGGCGGGGGACCCTTCTCAACACTAGCTTCGCAGCACATCGCAAGCGCACAATGCAAAAGAGGGCCGAGAAAAGCTGCACCGAAGGACGCAGCACGCTGCGCACCACGACGCAGCTGCAATACGCTGTGCGTTGTGCTGGGTTGCGAGCCAGAGCAGCATGCTGTGGCTACCGTTTGGCAATGAGTGGTCCGAGCGGCACTTCCTAGCTAGGGTAACGCCAAGACCCCTCGGCTCCCTGTATCGCTATCTCTTTCCAAATCCTTTTTATGATTCACTCGATATTCATCTTCCGTGTCAGTATATGTATCTCTCTCCCAATTGGTAGATATGCCTATGTGTATATATATATATGTATCTAGCTTAGTTGTTGAATCGCCCTTTCTCTCTCTCTCTCTCTCCCTCGCTGCGTACCTAAATATGCATACTCATATAGCCCATATACAATTCCTTAGCATGTCCCGACATGTCATGCTGCGGCAAAGAATATTAATATGTTGCCCCGAGCTCTAGCACTGGTCAGGAGCACCGATGTAAGAAACAACAAATATTAGGAGCCCCATCCGAACTTGAAGACCCTGCTCGAATGAGGAAGTCATGGGCCGAATGCTACAAGCCCTCCGAGCGGAAGTGGTCTAGTGCGCTTCCTGTGAAACCCCTCTCCTTCCCCTTCGCGTAGGGCTTTGCCCCTCCCACTCCCCCTGGGCCGGGGGGGGGGGGGGAAGATGTCAGATGGCCGCCTTTGGCCCCGGATGGCTCTAAGAAGGCTCGAGGAATCTTCCGCGGTTCTCCGAGCGGACCCTAGACCCCCCAAGACGGCTCCGAGTGGCCACTCAGCCCCCTAAGGAGGCGCCCAAGAGGCCAGCACATTTCCAGAACCTAGAACACAAATGGTCCCTGCCTCGTTTCCAATGGGTTTCTGAGGCTCCAGAAAAGCCTCCCAGATGGCCCAACCTGGCCCCAAGATAATACTTGTCGGACTCAAGTCGTACCTTCCTCATGTCCCCTCCCCTTCGTGCCCCCTTCCCACGTGCACGTGCAGAAGAACGCCCCCGAGCGTGACTCAGTCTGTGTCCATGGCCGGGTTGTCGAAGAGGAAGTTCGCAGCCAGCTCCTCGTTCTTGTCGCACGCGAAATACGCCTGGGATCGGACGAGGAATCGCACGGAGGAAGTGGGATTTGGAAGAAGGCAAGGGGACTGGATATGATCCTATGCTTGTTCTACCTGTTGCATTGCTCTGGGGGCTGGTGCTGGATCCTTGGGGGGATGAGGCGAACGAGAGGTGGAGGAGGAGGAGAGTAGAGGGAGACGTGGATGGAGCGGAGTAGTAGGGCTGGCTGAGGAGGATGGGGTTGGAGGTGTAGAGGAGGGAAGGAGGAGGCAGATGTAGGAGGATTTCTCGGTCTTATTCTTAGTACGGCATTCGTAGAATAATATTCCCGTCCCACTCAGTATTATGATTGGGGGATTGAGTCGTATTTTTCTGAGTCTGATTCCTATTTCTTCTCTTATTCTTGGTTCTGCACTTACTTTTGTAGGGCTGCTTATGGCCTCGCCGAGACGGAGCAGGAGGCCTCCAAGACACCCCAGATGGCCTCCAAGACGGCCCCAAAGACAGCCCAGAGATGCCTCCAAGACGGCTTCCGACTGGTCCCACGGGCGACAAAACATGAAAGCAACACGTGCACAAACGACGGGGGCCCGCACGCCCCCCCGCGGCCCCGCCGCGTGAGAGCGATCGCTGTTCTCGCCTCCTGCCTCCGCGGCCGCCTCTCGTCCTCTCCTCCTCCTCCTCCTCCTCCTCCTCTTCCTCCTCCTCCTCCTCCTTCTCCTCCTCTCCGCCTCCCCCTCCTCCCCTACCGCCTCCTCCTCCTCTCCTCCTCCGCCTGCAGCCTCCTCCTCCTCCTCCTCCTCCTCCTTTTCCCCCCCTCCGCCTCCGCCTCCCTCCTCCTCCTCCTTCCCCTCCTCCTTGCCTCTCTGCGTCTGCTCCTCCTCCTTCCCCTCCTCCTCCTCCTCCTCCTCCCTCCTCCCTCCTCCTCTCCTCCTCCTCCTCCTCCTCCTCCTCCATCCTCCTCCTCCTCCTCCTCCCTCCTGCTCCATCCTCCTCCTCCTCCTCCTCCTCATCCTCTCTCTCCTCCTCCTCCCTCTTCCTTTTTTCCCCACTCATCCCTTCTCCTCTTCTGCCTCCTCCTGCTGCTCTCCTGCGGCTGCCGTTTCTTCTTTCCAGCTTCTTCTCCCTGTCCTCCTCAACCGCCCTCGCCGCCAAGGCCCCTCCCGCTCCCCGCCCCTCTTCCCCTGCGACTCTCGCCCCTTTCTCTCTTCTCATCCTATTCCTCCCTCTTCCCCCTGCCCGCTTTCCCCGCATGGTTCCCCTCCATCGGCCTCCGCATCCGCCTCCTCCCCGGCCCCTCCTCCTCCTCCTCCCCTCCTCCTCCTCCTCCTCCTCCTCCTCCTCCTCCTCATCCTCATCCTTTTCCTCCTCCTCCTCCTCCTCCTCCTCCTCTTCTTCCTTTTCCTCCTCCTCCTGCTTCTCCTCCTCCTCCTCCACCTCATTCGTCGCGCGAAATAACCCCGAAATGGCCCGATTGCTCCATCGGTTGCCCTCATCCTCTCCTGCTGCCTCCTCTGCTGCCCCTAACGGCACGAGGGACGGACGGACAACGACACGCCCGAGGCCTGGGCAGCCATGTTCCTGTCGAAGCCCAGGGCGGCGAGCCTCGCGCGAGCTTGAGGAGAGGTCGGGGGCGGCCAAGTGGGGGGCGTCCAATAAGGGGGGGACGCAAATCATGGCCAGCGGCACGTGCGCGGCCCAGGGGGGGGCCAGGGACTCGTTGAAACAAGAAGAGGCGCCATGAAATCTGGGAAGATATCATGGCCCACGCCATGATCTCCCCCCCGGCTAGTCCTCACCCCCCTCTCTGCCGCCCCCGAAGAGGAGCCGGCCCCAGCCCCCCTGCGAGCACCTCGTGCGCCAGGTGCTGTCTCGCTCCCGTGGAGCCGCCGGGGGGACCCGCCCGTGCCCTCCTGGGGGTGCCCAGAGCCCTTGGCCGGCCCAATCGGACCGCCGCCGTGCGGCCACGTCTGGCCAGCCGCTCGAGGGCTCGAGCCGGGGCTTGGCCCCCTGCCAGGGTGTCAGCAAAGGTCCTCTCCGCTGGGCCCCGAACGGGGCAGCTTGGACTTGTCGGGACCTTCCTCTCTTCCCTCTCTTTCCCTCTTTGGCATGCGATCCTCCTCCTCCGCCCTCCTCCGCCCTCCTCCTCCTCCTCCTCCTCCTCCTCCTCCTCCTCCTCCTCTCTCCTTCTCCTCCTCCTCCTCCTCCTCCTCCTCCCTCCCTCCCTCCCTCCCTCCCTCCCTCCCTCCCTCCCTCCCCTCCCTCCCATCCTCCCTTCTCCCTCCTCCTTCTCCTCCTTCTCCTCCTCCCCCTCCTCTTCCTCCATTCTTAACTTATAAACAACTTATCCCTGTCACACCCCGAGGCCAGTTTTTAGGGCGGGCCGCGCGCTTCGCCTGAGCCTTTCTTCAGAGACCCTCGCAAGAAGCCAGACCCAGAAAACCTGCGCGCGAGGTGCAGCTAAGGGCACCCTGAACGCAGCAGCTTCTGAAACGGCTGCGGAAAGTCACCGCGCAGCGCGCGGAGCCAAGAAACCCAGGATACCCTGACGAACGGCATATGGTTTCTTGACGCGCGCCCCCACTGTATGGGGCTGTCGCTTGAGATTTCCACCTGTGAAGAAAAACCTGAACACACGCAGGGCCGAACGGATCGAGGGCGTCCCCTGTTCACAGTGGGGAGCTCGCTTGAGATTTCGTCACAGTTCACGACCACAAGCGTAAACTTGCGAAACTGCTACACGTGAGGGGGTGGTCCATTTCTCGGAAAGGGCGTATCGCTGAAAATCTTATGGAACTTTCTGATCATACTCTTTCGCATTCCTAATTACGCGCCGGGAGGATGCAGTGCGTTTCCGTTTCGGCACGGGACCCTCGCAAAGATGGCACGTCCGCATAGCGCATGTCTTTCAAGGGAGGCGCATCTCGTAGTGAAGAGGAAAGCTTGCAGGAACGTGTGCGGAGGGGACTTGGGACGGGAGGGTGTATCTCAGCCTCGCTGATGCATCTTGGGTTTAGTATGGCCCTGACCCTCCTCGTCCTCCTCCTCCTCCTCCTCCTGCTCCTCCTCCTCCTCCTCCTCCTCTCCTCCTTCCTCCTCCCTCCTCCTCCTCCCCCCCTCTTCCTTCTGCTCTCCTCCTCCTCCTCCTCCTCCTCCTCCTCCTCCTCCTCATCCTCCGCCTCCTGCTCCTCCTCCTCTCTCCTCCTCCACCTCCTCCCCCTCCTGGTCGTCGTCGATGTCTTTCAGGGTCGGGGGCACCGGCCGTCAGGCTTTCACAATACGCGACCCATCTGGGCATGAAAGGAACCGGTTCGGAGAGAACCGAGGCTGAGATACTGGCGATAAACGATGGAAGCGTGCAGAGCTCGAACACTCTCTGCCCCCTTTCCCTCCCCCTTCCCTCCCAACCCCCCTCCATCCCTCCTCCCCTTCTCCTCCTTCCCTTCCCCCTGTTTCCTCCTCCTTCCTCCTCCTCCTCCACTTCCTCTTCCTCCTCCTCCTCCTCCTCCTCCTCCCTCCTCCTCCCCCTCCAGAGTGACACAATATGAATACTACTCTCTTCTCTCCCCTGAGTATGTGCGGGAGATGGCCGCCCTCCGCGTTTTGTTTTTTACACACAGGATTGCCAGGATATTGGTTTTCAGTGTGTTTTGGACACATCGATTCTTCTCGGTCCTTCAGAATGTTGTTCCCGCTGCAGCGCTGACCCCATTCATGCGCCTCTGGTCGTTTCAAATCGTGCTGACGCTACATCTTTTTGAGGACGTATCAGGCGGGAGCCCCGTTTCTGCTTTGAGAAGGCGATGCTGAAAGCAGACCCAGCGGGTGCTCTCGATCAGCCCCGCCTCAAGGGGAGCTGTCCGGGAAGCCCAGGGAGCTGAACAGGGAACCGCGATTTCAGACCGGCATAGACCCCTCGAAGACAATCAACTCCAAGGGACCCAGGCCACGCAATCGCATGCAGCAGAGCCATACTTTGCGTTGCCATGCTTTGCGTTGCAATCCTTTGTGTCGCACTGCTCTTCTACGCCATGCTACGCCGTGCTCTACCATCCATCGGGTACCCTCTCGGGGTCATTGCCTTGCTCGGCATTCGGCTATGCGAACAGAGAGCATATCTGCGCCATGGTAACTAAGGGATGGGAGGCAGGGGTATGGCTACAGATCTTGCGCGAGCGCACCTAGCTTGTCATTCCCCCCTCACCCTTCCTTCCTCCCTCCTCATCCTCCCATCACCCTTCCTTCTTCCCTCCTGATCCTCATCCCCCTCCCCCTCTTCCTCCGCCTCCTCCTCCTCCTCCTTTCCCTCCTCCTCCTCCTCCTCCTCCTCCTCCTCACCTTCTCTTTTTCCTCCTCATATTCCGCCTTTTCCTCCTCCTCCTCCTCTTCCTTCTCCTCCTCCTACTCCTCTTCCTCCTTCTCCTCCTCCTCCTCCTCCTCCTCCTTCTCCCCCTCCTCCCCCTCCTCCCCCTCCTCCTCCTGCTCCTCCTCTCCTCCTCCTCCTCCTCCTCCTCCTCTTTCCTCCTCCTCATAATCATTATCCTTCCTCCTCCTCCTCCTCCTCCTTTTCCTCCTCCGCCTCCTACCTCCTCCTCCGCCTCCTCCCTCTTTCTCCTCCTCCTCCTCCTCCTCCTCCTCCTCCCCCTCCTCTTCCTCCTCCTCCTCCTTTCCTCCTCGTCCTAGCCCTCTTCTCCTCCTCGGTTTACCCGCGGCCCCAGCACAGGCCTCGCTTTGCGATGGGTGTCCAGTGGGACCAGGCGCGCGAGGAAAGTCCGCAGCTCGCTCAAAAAGAACACGTGCAGCGAAAATTCGGGAGCGGCTCTGCCCGGCACGCGTTGCCCCCAATGTTAGACGAAAGGGGGGCCCATCATTTTAAGGCCCCCCAGTGCGCCTTTGAATAAGCGGCGCACCGAAGGACACGACAGGCCCCCCCCCCCAAAACAAAAACTTAATAGTAGCAGCGTAATGCTGAGAGGCACGCGCCGTGTGATAGGCAAAGGGGGGGCCATCACATTGTTCCGCCCCTCGGCGCGGCTTTGCGTGGCTTTCCTCCTCCTCCTCCACCTCCTCCTCCCCCTCCCCCTCCTCCTCCCCCTCCTCCTGCACCCTCCCCCTCCCCCTCCCCTCCCCGCCCCCCTCGCCTGTCCACCGCGGCGCTCTCCTCCTCAGAGAGGCGGACGACGTTCTGCCCAGGGCCGGGCCCCCCGGCGCCGGGCTGCCCGCCGCCGCCGCCCGCCTCCGAGGCTGGGGGGGCGGGTGGGGCACGGAGGAAGCAGACGGCGGCAGCGGGGGCAGGCGGGGGTCGAGGAGGGAAAAAGGAGGAAAGAGAGAGAGAGACAGATAGATAGATAGAGAGAGGGACCCCCCCCAATATATATATATATATATATATATATATATATATATAGAGAGAGAGAGAGAGAGAGAGAGAGGGACCGAGAAGAGAGAGAAAACAAAAAAGAGAGAGAGCGAGAGAGCGTGGAGGAGAGGAGGAGAGAGAGGAGAGAGGAGGAGGAGGAGGAGAGGAGAGGAGGAGGAGGAAGGAGAGGAGGAAGAAGGATTGGGAAGGAAAGGAGGAGAGGTTGAGGAGGATGAGTGAGGGAAGAGAAGGAGGAGGAGGAGGAGCAGAGGAGGAGGAGGAGGAGAAGGAGGAGGAAGAGGAGGAGGAGGAGGAGGAGGAGGAGGAGGGGGACGAGAAGGAAGACCAGGAGGAGGAGGAGGAGGAGGAGGAGGAGGGGGAGTAGGAGGAGGAAGAGGAGGAGGACGAGGAGGAGGAGGACCAGAGGAGGAGAAGGAGGGGGAGAAAAAGGAGGAGGAGGAGGAGGAGAAGGCAAGCTAGGTGCGCTCGCGTCATATCTGACGTCCGACCCCTCCCTCCCATCCCTTACCATGGCGCTGATTTTCTCTATCCGCGGACGCGTGTCGTAGCGGACCTGTGGCTCCGCGCGCGCGTGCGTAGTGGTGGTGGTGCACGTGCGTGCGTGCGTGCGTGTGTGCGTGGTTGGTGCGTGGTGGTGTGTGTGTGGTGGTGGTGGTGGTGGTGGTTGCTGGTGGTGGTGGTGGTGGTGGTGGTAGTGGTGGTGGTGTGGTGGTGGTGGTGGTGGTGGTGGTGGTGGTGGTGGTGGTGGTGGTGGTGGTGGTGGTGGTGGTGCGGCGCGGTGGTGGCGGGTGGATGGGCGCGCGAGAAAGAGGCCCGCGCTGGGGCGAGAACGCCATCCTGAACGACGGAGGCCATACACCGATCCGAAAATGAGGCCCACGCTGCAGCGGGAGCACGATTCGGAACGATTCGGGAGCAGAAATGAGGCCGGCGCCTCAGCGAGAGCATCATTAACAAAAAACGCAGGCGAAAACCCGTTTCCCGGGAATCCTGTTTTTTTTTTATATATATATATATATATATATAATAAACAAAAAAAGAAAAAAAAACGTGGGGGGCGCTCGGTCCAAAAATGACGCCGGCGCCTCAGCGAGAGTCGTTTCCCGGGATTTCCCGGGCATCCTGTGTGTAAAAAAACAGTGCGCGGAGAATGCGCGGCCATCACCCGGACGCCATTAGGGGAAGAGGGAGAGTATTTTCATATTGAGAAGGAAGGGGATGAGCGAACGAAACCAATCGGTCCCGTTACGGGCGGCTACCGCAGGCGCGCGGCGGCCTGGCGACTCAGGTCGCAGCCGTAGCTGTTGTAGTTGATTTACTTGGAGGCGTAGTAGTCAGATGGCTCGCATTCACTGGACCCGCTGGAGTCGCACTCGAAGGAGTCGCCAACCAGCCCAGAACGGAACACGTCGGACTCGGAGCACAGATCTTCAGCGTAGCCGAGGCACTTGTCGAAGTCGTACATGTCGCCAAACGTGTCACAGTCGCACGTATCAAACTCTCCGAGCATATCCATCATGCCGCTCTGGAAAAGCCACTGCTGGTCGTCGGCCAGCTTCGAGTCAGGGTCGGCGGAGGGCTTCATCACGGCATCGGGCATCTCATCGGATAACTCACTTGGATACGGCGCTCGACCAGGCCAATCAACACACTCAGCAGCATCTGTGCTCAATATCCGGTCGAGCACGAAAAACGGGACGTCGTTCAAGGAGTCGCCGACAAACGGGCCGAAAGTACCGAGCTCGATCATCTTGCTGGGAATGTTCTGCACGTCGGCGGAGGCCACGAACTCGCTGATCATCGTCTGATTGACGGTGTTGAGGGAGGAGAGCTCTTGCAGGTGTGTTTCTTGGCGCGTTAGCAGTGTCTGCAGCTGACTCTCGACAATGAGCCACTTGGACTTGGACGAGTCGATGAGGGAGTACAAGCATTGCACGTCCAAGGTGGCGGGCGAGCACGACAGCGCGGCATCGGCGTCCACAGGCGTAGCAGGAGTAAGATTGAGGAGCGGGTTGGCAACCGTGTGGAACATGTCGGACTCGCCCTTGGCGGTGGGCTGGTCCCTGACGTAGGCGATCTGGTGCTCGGCGGTGGTAGCATTCTCGTCCTTGGCGTTGAGCTGGTCGTGGTCGCTCTGGAGGTCGGCGGTGGAGGCAGTCACGGACTTGTGGATGATGGCCATGGCGTCGTTCATCAGCGAGGCCTGCTTGGTGCCCAGCTGGTCCGCGATGGCGGCGAACTGGTGCTCAGCCGCGGCGACGACGTCGGCCAATGCCTGCTTCAACTCGGAGCTTTGGTTCTGGACTTTCTTAAGGAGGCAGTCGATAGCGCGTTGGTCCTCTCGCCGTAGTTTTTCACTCTCGGCAAGCGCGTACTCCA